TAAACTAAATGAGAGTGGAAAAACAGGCAGGGGTTTGGGGTTTGCTGGGCAGGTTGGCAGCACAGCCCTCAGGGCAGGAGGAACAGGAAAGCTTGATCCAAGGGGACATATGGGGTGAGAGGACCCTTTGGGAAGCTGATGAAGACTGCAGGGGATTTTTTAAGGACCATTTCTACTGCCACAGTGGCCTGGAGTCCAGGCAGCTCCAAGGGAATTAAAAGTCACCATATGCTTCTTTACCCATGGCCTTACCCATGTGTCTGGTACCTAAGAATCCTGGTAGGAACCTGCAGCAGGATCTGGTCCAAGCTTTTTGTCTTGCTCCAAAGGACACTCTGCAGGTTTTGGGGTTCCCAAGGGCCCTGGTATTTGGGATCGTTTGCAGCATCACCTGAGTGTGCTCAAATACATCCACACTCCTCTGTCCTTTCTTGCTGGGCATGAGGCATGGCTCCTGCCTGCGGAGTGCCCACATGGCCCAGGGAACTGGGAGCCATCCAGGGACACCAAAGGGGTGGCTCAGCTGGTACAACTTACAGAGTGGCCCTTCAGCCAGAATGACGCTCTCTGTATTTTCTGCAGCTGCTGCACACTTAATATAGATTGTAGAAGTATAGGTAAGAGGGACTACTTGGCCTAGGAAGAAAGATTATTGGAATGATTTGATCCTCCTGCTTCCTCTTCAGTGAGATGAAATTTCCTTTTATTTTCAAATGTGAATGAACTAAAATTCACAACAGCTCAGGCTGAAGTCTCAACCCAATTTTAAACAGAGTGGGATGTGAGTGGAAAACTGAGCACTCAGAGCCCTGGAGTAAGGCCACAGCAAAGGGAAGAGGACAGCAGATCCAATACCCTGAGAGATCCTGGGAACAGCTCTGGATTCCTAATTCAGGAACTGGTGGTGCTCCTTGTGCCAGGGTCTGTACCTTCTACTGGAGATCTGTGTGCATTCTGGTGCCCTCTCTTCAAGGGAATCATGACCTGTTGATGTTTGGCAACCACTGACTGAGCAATGAAAAAAGGCTGGCCTGTTGCTCTACTTTGTTAATGACACAGTTATGGTGTGGGGAAAAACAGATTGTGAACTGAAGAACAGGCCCAGAATGTACAAACAGAAAGGAAATCAATTACTGCTAAGCAAAAAAAAAAAAAATTCTGTCATTTCAAAAGTTCTGGGCACATGTCTTTGCTGTTTGGGTGTTGTCCATGTCTAAATTTTACATAGGTAATTCAGACAGACAAGTCAACCCTTGTATGTCTTTCAAGCTGCTCCTCATTTTCCCTGTCCTCAGCTCCCCTGCTGCCTTTCATGTCACTGCATGGAAACCAGGGCATAGTCCATTAAATTAAACAGTAACAATGGATGACCAAGCTTTAGAAGGAAAAGATGATCATTTATCTGCCAGACACTCAAGCCATAGGGTTCACTGTCTCTGAGGACAAACATGACAGGGTAGCTTGATTCTAGAAACAGATGGGCTATTTCACTAGTCATTAATCTCACTGCTAGCTCACAAACATAAGACCACACATTTATTGTATGACTGTGGGTGTGCATCCTTTTTTAGCAAAAGCACTCCTTCATGAGGAATGAGTCACATACATAAAGACCCTGACATTATCCAACTAACTCATCAATAAATGGTAAAGTGCAAGATGTAGATCCCCCTGCACTGCTTGACTGAGTCATCCTGATGCTGGATTTATCACAGCCTAGACAAAGTTTCTAATAAGAGCACCAACTGTACAAAGTAAGGGTTTCCCATTGCCTTCAACTCAGTCAGCTGAAGCTCTCAGAAGTGACTGACTGAAAGGGTTACACATAATGGCCTGCATTAGGAAAGGTGCCTAAGCAGACCAAGGGATGTTAGTGTTTCTGTAGACTTGACACCTGTGAAGGCGCACTTGGAATGTTGCATTCAATTTTCTGACCCTTTCCCAGTTCAAAAGGAAAGCAGAGGAACTGGAGAGAGTTCAGCAAAGAGCTCCCATGACAGAGGTCCACAGCACTCTGCCTACATGAAAAAGCTTCTTGAGTTGGGCTTTTTGAGCCTGGCAAAAAGAAAGAGGCAACATAACAGCAACCTACAGCTCCACAAAAGAGCTACAAAAAGGACAGAACCAACCACAACCACCTGTGGCAGTAGAAGGTGATAGAGGAAAGGGCAACAGCCACAAGCTGCGGATTGAGATGCTTTGTGCACCAAAGTAAAGCTCCCAATAGGTTGTTGCAGGTTGCCAGCTGAAGGATGGGACTCAATTATACTCAGGGTGTAGAGGTGAAGTAGAGATCTTATTATTATCTTGGGGTCAATGCTGATAGTCCATTTTTCCTCTGAGCCTGTGAAGAAAGGGTCTAAGCACAGGTCACAGGGACCTGGAGCTTTGGAAAAAGACAGGGCCAATAAGATCTTGTAGGATAACCTGGAGCAGCTGTAGGTACAGAGCTCAGTCCACTGTCACATTGTCACTGTGCTGCAGGAATAAATGGTAAGGATGTGTTGCTTCTTCCTGGCACTTCTATTGTAAATGTCTCATGAAGGAAAAAGAGATTCCAATTTACATATCCTGGGGTTGAATAGATAAGGAATCATTTTGAAAAATGAGTGTACGCACATATAACACCCACGCACGTTGTTAAACCTTCTGACCAAGGAGAGATAAGCCTGATGCTGATTGTTTATGATGATGCAGTAAAATTTCTATGGAATTGTTTTTCTTGGGTGAGAAACAGAAACACACATTAACTCACTTCATTGTAATGCCCATTTTATTGTAATTATCTTTCAATTCTCTGAGCTTTCAGCATCTTGTTTTGGCATTATAAACACCTGCAAATCCTATGTAACATAAATAAAAAAGAACATCTTGTTACAATAATATCTATAGAAAATGAGATAGGTGCAGAGTATGATAATTGCAGCTTTCCAGCTCCCCTACATCCATACACAAACCAATAACACATAAAGGCTATCTATTCAAAGTGCTAAGTCTTTTCATGTTCTTTATTAGAGCACAGCCTCATGTGATAGGCTTCATAAGTAGGTAAGAAAATGATTGTTTCAAAAAAATTATGATCAGAGAAATTGTATTATTCTAATTTTTAGGTAAGTAGCTGAGATGCAGCTCCTTTAAGAAGTTTCCCTGACATCAGATGAAGAGCCTGGGGCAGTGGGAGGAAGGCAACCTAGAGCTCCTAACCTCATCAGTCCTTCTGAGAACATCCCCTCCTTAAAGAGACACATCCCAAGAATTTTATATTGTCAAGGGATTCAGGAGGAAAAATTATCCCCTCACTAGCCTTTCTTGGCAACTGCAGTAAAAATCCGTGGAAGGAAATCCTCCCAAACACTGTTTAAGCTAAGGGTTTGGATGAGTGGCATCTGGCCTATCCATTATCATACCTAACCCTTGGAAAAACAGACTGTGGGTGCATCCCTGTAGCTGCTGGTATCACCACTCAGAGGAGCAGTAGGAGTGACATTGCAGAATGAGATTGTAATCAGATACACAATTCTAAGATGGGCTGGAAGAGGCCTGGAGGATCAAGTAACATGTGTTCTAGGATCATAGCAGCTTAGGGAAAAGGTAGCAGGATTGTAGCAGGTTCTATAGAAGAATGCTGACAGAAAGTTAACTTTCAGTACTTTAACAAGGCATTTTAGGGATTAACTCCTAGACCTTTTTAGTCTATGACAGGTATGATCCTGGAACCATCTCGGAAAATGTGAAGAAAACAGCTTATAATACCTCTCCCTCCCTGAGAGCAGGAAAAAAACCAGCTGTGCTTCAGGATAATGGGAAACAAGAGTGACTTCTGTGTGCTAGGTGTGGGTGAGAGCACAGCCTGTGACTTTTGTGCTGTGCCTTCAGAATCACAGAAATTGGTGGAAATGGCTGTGGTAGAAAATGCAAGGGAACTGAGATGTCCCCACCTTTCTGCACGTTGCTCCAATGCTGCACTGCCCTCATGGGGCACGTTTCCTTAAGTCCAGCCTGAACATCTCAAGCCACAGCTTGTGACCCCTGCTCTGAGCTGCCATTATAAAGAAGGGCCCAGGTCGTCTTCACAACTCCACCTTGAGCAGCAGGGCCCAACACTAGATGGATGCATGATTTCAGGGGTTGAGTCCAAAGAGACAGAGTGTTTCCTTGCTCTGCTGGCCACACTTCTCCTACTGTAGCCCAGTATGTGGTTTCTTTAATTCCTAGTCAGAGTGTTTTGCTGGTACATATGCTCTAGGGCTTTTGGTGGGTTTTTTTCTCCTTACTTTGTCACAAAATAAGTTTTTTTTTCTTCAGGGGGGTCACAGGAAGAACATGGGTGAATGTTGGTACTTGGATGGATCCCAGATGACAAGTGCATTCTCAATGAGTAAACTGACAGAGTTTTAAAGCACTTCTTGTCTCATGTCAGAGGGTTTTCTGTGGGACATGTGGGATGGTTTCTGAGACAGAGAAAGGACTGTTGTCACTGTGCACCTGGAACTGGAAGAAGCATAATCTTCCCAGAGTGAATACCTGAGCGAAGAAGGGTTTATTTCTTGTGGCCATGGTGAGCCTTTTCTTTATTGATTTGAGAAGCTCTGCAGTCACAGTGGGCAGAACTAGGTGTAAATAATTAAAGGCATTGCCAGAAATAGCTATGGGACTCAGCCTGCTATATGAATAATATTTCATTGTCTCTCTTTTGCTGCATTTTATCTTGAAATAAGAGATAAGATCCTGAGAAACAGCCCTTTTTGGGATGAAAAATACAAAAGCACATATTCCTTTGGAATCTGTATGTAATGCCAAGGCAATGCTGAAAAGGAGAAAGACATGTCCCCAGAATTTTAGGGAAACATGAGGAGTCATAGCTACAGTCCATCTCACCTGGACATTTAGTGTCACTCGCATTCCACTCATTGCTCTTTACAGAAGAATATTTTCTGAGCCTTGAAAACCTAGGGATAAACCATGAGGTGCAGGCAGCCACATGAAGGAAGGATGTTTTCTCAGTTTGCATCCCTGGTAGTTGGAGCAACTTCCAGCAACAACTGGAGGTGCAAAGTGACTCTCTGTAAGAAGCGAGGGTGGTACTTGAAGCGAACCAGTGGGAAATAAAAAATGATGCCACTGAAAATGAACAGGACGATGTAGAGGATCTCTATTTGGGGTTGATCAATGATGGGAGCTAACACCAGGTACACAGCTGCTATCAGCACAATTATGGGGATGATAATTGGGACCTGTGAAGGCAAAACATCAGCATAAAGACTCATGTAATTCTGGGCTTCTGTGTGTCTGGATAACCCTGGAACTTCTGCAGAAGGCTTTGTAGATGAAACCTTTCTGCAACCTGAGGTATTGCCAAGAAATACTAATTAATCCAGACATCCTGTTTCCCAGCCTACCCCCACCCCAGGGCTGAACATCCCTGCAAGAGCTACACCACCATATCACACCTTAACCCCTGGTCTTTCCTGCCCTTCTAGACCTGAAGATGTAAACTGCTGGGTTTACTCTCAGGCCTGTTCTTGCTCTCCCTACTACCTTGCATCTCAAAGCCAAGCTGTAGACAAAACACAGAGCAATTGTACTCAAATCAACTGTACCTTAGCACCCTTGCACAAAAAGTTTTATCTGTGTATTGAAGACAGGTGGACAGGCAATCTCAGAGGCAGTTTCTGTAAGCCTGATCAGAAAGCATTTAAACTTCAATTTGAAGCCACCCTTCCGCAAAGGAGGGTGGCTTGTACATTCATTAATAATCCTCAGTCACTGAGGAAGCATTGAAGATCAGCTCACTCATGACATCAGGGGAAGAACATGTGACTCTTCATTTCCCTCCTTTTATCTGTTTTGTGGGGAACAAATATGTCCCTATGTCATCTCAAAGAACTTGGGGCACTCCACCTAAGTTATTTTTCCCTCTGCAAGGTTCTAACACCTGGGCTACCCTCCAAGGAGTTTGCGCAGTCTGTGAGTATAGACAGGTGATTACAATGTTGATCAGAATTATCCTTCATTTACCACTTAAATCTTTTAGAAAGAAAGAGGATATGGTAGATATATTTTCATAGTGAGGAGACAGAGCATTATTAGCTTATCAAGACAGAGAATTCAACCTTGACTTATGCCTGTATGTTCACACTGTCTCACCCCTTGTTGACTTTGCGGACACAAAACTTGAAATTAAAAAAGGAAGGACAACCACATTGAATCTGTAAGCCACCAGTGCTCACTCTTTGCTCTAAATGTTCTCATAGTCATTTGAACGATATAGGGAAATATTTGAGGGTTTTATGTTATTACTTTACCTTGTAAGATCTTGGCAGTTCTGGTTTCTTGATTTTTAAATACAGGAGCCCAGAAATAGTCATTCCATAGAAAAGCCATGCCATAAAACTCGAAGAAAAGAAAAAAAAAATTAGACAGCATTACACTTGGGGTGAGATCACCCAGGAATGTCAGTCCTGCCTTGCAGATCCCAGATGTGCATATCTCTAATTAAAAAAGTGAATATTGATATAAATTTAGTAGTTCCTCCATTAATTTTCTTTCTAGCACAAACAACGAGAACTTTAGAATTATCTGAACATTACTGATTCAATGAGGATGAATCACATTCAGTCAAGTCTCTAGTGACAGGAGCATTCATGCATTGCAAAGGTGCTGGTTCCCAATCTCTTTCTTTTCCTTCTTCCCTCCTCCTCTCCCCAGTATTGGTTAGAAAGCAATAGCCCAGGCTCAAAAGGATAATGCAAGAAAATACTTATAAACAATGTAAGACCCAGGAGCACAGGGGATGCAAACAGAAACCCTACACACACATACCTGAAGAAGTTGACAATGCTGGTGAAGCTCCCTGATATTATCATTATTAAAGACATGGCAGATGTGAACAGTAGAGCAGGGGAGGGCGTGAGGCGTCGCACATGAGCCATGGACAGAATGTCTGGCTGAAAAACAAAGCAAAGCATCATCATTTCATGGACTCAGAGCTCCTTACTCATCCCCCTCAGCTGCTAGTGGGAGCTTTGCCTGCAGCCAGAGCCATTCAGAATCAGCAAATAAGCACTGTATACAACCAGACCTACTCCAAGGAGTGTAAATACAGGAAACTCCTTCAAGGGTATTTTTATTGTGTCTCACTGGTTTCATATCAAGCATGATCAGTTTGAGCAGGCAAAATGAGGTTTTCAAACTACTGATGTGACAGAATGAGTCAAATTAGAGCACCATCAGGACCTTTTGCCATGGGCCCACTATTCTGCCCTCTGTCATGTCTCTCTGGGGCTTGACTTCTCTTGGGATGACTGCAAAATGAGACAAGAACTAGTCCTGAAACATTTATGTGAATATAAATTACACCAGGATTTGTTTCAGGATTAGTAGCCTCTTTATTGTTTGTTTCATTGGCAAAGTTTAATGAGAAAGGCTGCTTTTAAAATTTTATTTTATTTTATTTTTAATTCCCAACCAAAATATCATGAAGGACCTTTGCTAGAGGTGAGTGTTTGAGAAATGGCATAAGCATTCAGCTCATAGTTTGGTATGGTCAGATTCAGACCATCTGTGCACTTCTCAGCACAGAGCTTGCCATGATAGAGCAGGCATTATCCTCAGAGAGAGAGGTTGAGGAACCAATAACCACCGAAATCAGGAACCACCAAAACCAGCAACCACCATTCCAGTCATCTCCACCAACCTGGTCATTCATATGCATAAAAGATTCCCTGGTATGAACCAGCAGCGGAGCTGGAGCTGGTGTGGAATCACAGATTCATAGAATGATTTGGGTTGGAAGGGATCTTAAAGATCATCTAATTCCAGCATCCTGCTGTAGACAGGGACACTTTTCACTAGATCAGGCTGCTCATAGCCCCATCAAGCCTGGCCTCAAATTTCCAGGGATTGGGCATCCACACCCTCTGTGTGCAACCTATTTCAGTGCTTTCACACTTGAGGACAGAAATGCCAGATGCTGTGGGTGGGAAGGACCAAAAAAAGCAGAGAGGTTCAGGAGGAACACAAGAGGCCTGCTCAAAACAGAGGACAAATGCAGCTCGGCCTTTTTTCTCCTCCTTGTGGAGCAGTGTGGTTAAGTGTGTGTGGAGGTGTACCTGTGAGTGAGGGGGGTCTGTATCAGCAGCTGGGATGTGGCAGCAACCTTGGGGGACTTGTTAGCCTAGACAGCACAACTGGGGAGACTGGGATCCAGGAGCTCAGTATCTGAGCCCAGCTGCTGGAGGGACCCACACGGTACATATGTTTTATATATATTTCTCACTAACAGACCCCTGATCAGCCAGAGAGGGAATGAAAGGCCCTTGGTGTTGTTAGTGCTGGTGTTTGTGTGAGCCCCAGGTATGCCTGTATGTGGAGCTCTATGTTCCCTGCTGGCTCTGAATGCATAAACAGATACACAGGTATGTATGTATGTGTGTATATAAATATGTTTGATACCTGTATTTGTGTGTGTGTGGCTGCTGGGAATACATGCTGGACTTATTGGTTGGACCAGGGAGGAGGGAACTGCAGCAGCCTGACCTCCACTGGGTTACCAGATTTGGCCCACCTAACAAAACCAATGATAAACCCAAGCTAGGAGAGATGTAAGGCTTGGTATCACCTTGTAATTGCTACGAAGCTTGAAGAGCAGAGATATCCTATTCTGCATCTAAGCTGGACTACCCATGTGAAGGCTGGATCACCCCTGAGACCAACCTGTATAGTCAGTATAACAGCTGCAAAGGCAGCTGGCTGGTGCTGGGCTACCCTCCCAGTGCAAGCAAAGGTGCCTTACAACACACAAGCATGGCCAGGTTCTCCTTTCCTGGCAGGTATATTGACTAGCTCACCCCACAGCCTCTGCCTGGTGCTCCAATGCAGCCATTTTTGAGTGGTTCATTTCAAAGCTGTTCTTAAAATTCAGACTAGATGTGAATATGTTATCTTTTTGAAAGCACCTGACTGAAAAAGAAAGCCCAGAGACAACATACACTGTGGTATTTTCAGGGTCCCCAAGACGAAGGAGCAATTGAGAATCTGACTCCCTGTTCTTAGAAGCATATTATATATTCTATTCTATTCTATTCTATTCTATTCTACTAAAGACTAGAGAAAGGATCCTTACAGAAGGCTTAACAAAATACTAATGAAAAACTTGTGACCTATTCCAGAGTCCCAACACAGCCAGATGGTGATTGGTCATTAAGTAAAAACGATTCACATGAAACCAATCAAACAACCACTTGTTGGATAAACAATCTCCAGATTGTTTGGTCATTAAGTAAAAACAATTCACATCAAACCAATCAAACAACCACTTGTTGGATAAACAATCTCCACATTCCAAAGCAGCAAAACACAGGAGAAGCAATCAGATAATTATTATTTTCTTTTTTCTCTGAGGCTTCTCAGCTTCCCAGGAGAGGAATCCTGGGCAAAGGGATTTTTCAGAAAATATGACAGTGACAATACACCTTACATTTGAAAGAGATGGGGATTAATGAGCAAGGAACAAACCCCTTGAAGAGCTATCACTCTTCCAGTTGAACATACACAGTATTTTCCTCTCTGCTTTAGTGTGACAGGAAGGTGAAGTTGCTCAAAGCAAGCCAGAGCCCTTTCTTTGTGCTCACCATGTGGCCCTCCCTGGCAGCAATGTAGCACACGCGGCCTCCGCTGAAGAACGTCCCATTCGAGGAACCAAACGTGGACAGGGCCACCGACAGGGAGATGAGCCATGCCCAGCTGCCCAGGACTTTGTCCCTGAGGTGGGAAAGAGTTCACAGCACAAGATGCAGTTCATAGATGTATTGAATACTCACTGTAGAACCAGACAGGTTACATCACTCCATTATTTCTGTATTGTACAGAATCTTTTTCTGAAGTCTTTCTAATGATTTAAAGTCTTCTTGCAATTCCCATACTATTTAGTGACTTGGAAGTTTGTCTTGTCTGACAGCTTTTCTTCCTGCTATATATATATTCTGTCTGCACTGCAATGGTGTACAAAGAGGTCACAACAGGCAAAACCACCTTTTTTGTGTACTGAAGCTGTGGCAAAACACCTGAAGATACTGCTATCACAACCAATAATATTAGCTCGGAAATCACAGAAAAACTGTTCCCATCGCATTGGAAGAAATATTCTGCATTACAACCTCTTCCTGAATATGCATAGGATTTTAACCCTTTAATCCCACATGCACCTAATACTGCTCTTCTGTGAATTTGACTTAAGCCAAAAAAAATTATTTGAATTCCAGATGTTTGGTTCTACAACATGTTCAGACATTTCTGTTTCTACTTAACAGAAAAAGTAGCAGAGTTACAGAGTTCAAGGTAAATATTTGGAAGGAATGATAATTTTCTCACCTAAAAGTGAAGATTGTCTTCTGGAATGAAGCAGCATTAAGAGCATTAATTGAGTAATAAATGTTGGTGTTTGGGGTAATTATCACATACACAAACACTGTTTATCTAATTGGCAAAAATCCAAAACTCAAATGTTTTTTAAGATCACTTTATTTACAAGCAAACTGAAACCTGTGGTTGCTGTTCAATTGCTGTCATCAAAGAAACGCTGGGAAGAGTTTCCTGAGCTCCTTTTGTGGCTGCACCTCTCACTACTGAACAATGTTTCTTTCTGGCAGTTTTCCTCTTATATAGGGAATAAATGCATTTAAATGTGACAAGTCCTCCTCTGGCTTCTTTATGCTCCTCCTATTCTTTCTTAATGGCCTGAATAGCTGCGTGTCTTGTTTGTGAGCCACAAATTTCACCTCCTCCTCAGACTGGCTCCCTACCTGTTCCCCAGCCTTTGAGTGCCCAGATTTCCTGTCACTAGTTCAATATTTCTTCCTGAATTGCACTCTTGGGTGAAAAGGTTAATCAGACAGGAAAAGGAGATGCCTTACAAAGGAGGAAGCTCACAAATAACTTGTTAATTAGGAATGATGGAAAAGGAAGTGCAGGGAAAGTTCGTGACACTGCAGCTTAGTGAGGCTTTGTAACATACTCAAACAAAGCACTAGACCTTTAAAAGCTCCCACTCATAATGATGTGAAAGGCTATTAGAGAACACATCCAGCAAGAGCTCAGTCAGATCTTCAAATGGGAGATCTTGTGAAATGCACACAGAAGCAAAGCTGCTGCTGACTTTTTAGGAAGAGCAGCACATAATCTGTGGATACACCATGTCATCATTTCTGTCTGACAACTCATTTAGTGCTATCAGGGATTCTGTGTCTTTGGAAATATTTAGAATAAGGCTGGATGTTCTGGTGGAAGATCATTGATGATGTCTATACCTCTCATGATGGTCCCTTCCTTCTCTTCCTAAATTCCTCATCTTGTACAGAAATTGTTTAATGTCACCAAATACTTCAGGTTGAGGAAAGGCAGAAATTGTTTCTGTGCAGCTCTGGAAAAACACAAGCCAATTGAAGTTGCAGTTACCAAAGGCTACCTAACCTGTGTATAGCAGCTCTCAAAGGTGTTGAGATCAGTGCAATTTTCCATTTCCCCACAGAGGGAGAAACTGAGACAAAAGACTCTGATCTGCTCTAAATTCCAGGTGCAAAGTAGAGAGCATTCAGCCAGTTGACTCCTGTCTCACTCCCAACCCACTGCCTCTGCATTAGCAGGACAGCACATTGCCCTCTCAGTTTTCCTGGAAATATCTAAAATGTGCAAAATTTCTCAGTTCCAAATCTGGATATGTACCCTCGCTGCATTCCCAGTGCTTGTGGGGAGATGCTCTTGGTGTGACCTTCACCTCTCCCTTATGGACACTTTCCATGAGGTAAAACATGAGTTGGGGGAGTTACAGGTTCCCAGTGTAAACAAAGGGAATGTGGAGTAAGGAATGTGCCATCTTGGCAGCCTAGATGCACCTTGGAAACCATGGCCAGATGGAGCTGGTCAGCCTTGGCCTCATAGAACCCTAGAACCATAGAACAATTTGGAATGGACCTTGAAGATCATTCTCTTCTAAGCCCCTGCCACAGGCAGGGACACCTTCCACTAGACCAGGTTGCTCAAAGCCCCTCCAACCTGACCTTGAATGTTTCCAGGGATGGAGCATCCACAGCTTCTCTAGGCAACCTGTGCCAGTGCCTCACCACCCTCACAGTAAATAATTTCTTCCTTAGGTCTAATCTAAACCTACTCTTTTTCAATTTGAAGCCATTCCTGCTTGTCCTACTTTTACATACCCTTGTAAAAACTTCCTTTCCAGCTCTCTTGTAACCCCTTTAGGCACTGGAAAATGCTGTAAGGTCTCCCTGGAGCTTTTTCTCTCCAGGTTGAACAGCCCCAGCTCTCTCAGACAGCAATGTGCTTCAGCCCTCTGAGCACCTTAGTCACCCTTTTCTTTTCTGTAACATGGCCTGACCAATGCAGTGCTGCCATTCCCTCTGGGAATAACATTTAGATCTCCTGAAACTCAGGAGAGAACCAGTGTTTCTCAGAGCTGCACTGCCCGTGCTGCCCCACGCAGAGCTCACCCCCAGGTGACGGCCACAGCTCCTGAAGACAGCAGCTCAGTGGGAGTCATGGCTACCAGGTAGCTCACGTTTACCAGCAAATACAGGCACGTAACCAAAGGAATGGCAATCATCAGAGCTCTGGGAAGGGTCACCTGGAAAAGGGATGACAGCAGTGTTAGGTGCAGCACTGTGCTTTTTTTGTTTGATTTGGTTTTGCCACCACCCACATCTCTCATTGAAATTCCTCCACTTCCTAAACCTTTCCTCAGAACAAGACATAGATCCAGATTCACATGGCAGCTTTCACAGCAGTCAAAGTTAGCCTGAAAAAACCCACAACCAACAAACAAAATAATTCAAACAAAAAGAACCCACCAAATCTTATTAAAAAGATTTGGATTTGTAGCTGCCTAAGATGCCTTTTGCATATTTCTTGATTATTTCAATATTGATTTATTTGTTATTAGTATGTTATGTGTCCTGGTGTGCTGCATCTCCCCATAAACACCTCACTGCCCTGGACAAAGTTCCACTGTATGTTGTATCACATTTAACTACTCTACGGTTTAAATCAAAACAGGGGTTTGATTTCAAAATCTCAAAGGGGATTTGCACTAGGAAGGAAATATTTATTTTTTCTTAGTGGCAGGATTGTGTCTTAGAACACCACAGGATCATTTAAAGACTCAATAAAATCAACAGTGTCTTATGCAACTGAAAATACTGGGAAATGGCAACTGTAGGTATCTAAGAACCTGAAATATCAGTTTTTGCATTCCCCATTCTCAACACAGGACAAGATACAGCAATTCCTAATGGTGGTGTCTCCACTCTGGAAGGGCCTGAATATCAGCGCTCACAATCTTGTGGAAGAGAGTGGCCCTGGGATCTTTGCTGCCATATAGGTTAATATTTAACTGTGTATTTGCATTTTATCTGTAGGATCTCGTGGGCTGCACTGGTACAAAGCACACTCTAAAACTCGGCACTCACGCAACTCTTGCAAAATAAGAGTTGTTCACTGCTGCAGTGTTTGATCTGTGAAAATGGGTAATATGGCACAGAGAAGGTGATGTGAGATGCAGATGAGCTACTTCAGTGCCTATAGCATGGACTGCACAATGCTAAAATATAGATGTTTAAAGATGGGGATTGTTCACAGAGTTAGATTCCCTTTCCAGTGAGGCTGGGCTTGCTCTGAAGTTGCCCCTCGATGGAACAGAGAGAGATAAAGTAGTTTTCTAAAGCATAGATTATGGATCAAGTCTTTAAGAAAATACATGTTGTTAAGAATCCTTTATGGATTATAGCAGTGAGTGCTTTTCTGAATAAATCTAGGTGTCTACAGTGAGATCCTCTAAACACTAAGAAAAAACTTCATCTCCAAAGCATCCAAGCGCTGCCTAATAATTTCTTTCCAGTCAATGGGTTATTTTAGGACTTTTACAGGACCACAAGATCGTTTGGATTGGAAGGGACCTTAAAGATTATCTAGTTCAAATCTCCATGCAATGAACAGGGATTCCTTCCACTACACCAAATTGCTCAAAGCCCCACACAAGCTGGCTTTGAACACTTCTGGGGATGGGGCATCTGCAAAATCTTTTGTGTCAGTGTCTCACCACCCTCACTGTAAATCCCTTGATTACCACTCTTAACACAATCACAGATAAAATCAAACATATTAACAGCAGGGTTAAGTATGTAAAACCCAGCTTGCTCGCTCATTCACTCACCTCAGGCTTCTTCAGTTCCTCAGTTACATAATTTAGGTTGTTCCATCCATCATAGGACCAGAGCCCCTGGTAAAACGCCACTCCAACTGCCCCAATACCTGCAGTGGTGCCTTGAAAACCGTTCTGAAAACTCTGAGTTTGTCCCTTGGCAAGCAGCACCAACCCACCCACCACGATCACCAACAAAGCCAAGAGTTTGGCAGCTGTAAAAATGTTCATAACAGATGTTGCCAGCCTCACATTGAGGCAGTTGATGATAGTTAAAATCAGGATGCAGGCAGCAGCTGTACATTTGACGGCAGCCTGTGGAGATGAGCACCCTGGGTAGAACGGCGCAATGGCGTACTCAGCAAAGCTCAGACAGACAGCTGCCAAACCAGCTGGTCTCACCAGGATGACAGAAGTGTAGGCGAAAAGGAAAGCAGGAAAGGAACCAAAAATCCTCAAAATGTAAATATATTCTCCTCCAGACTCTTTAATTATTGTTCCAAGCTCAGCGTACGACAAGGCTCCAAACATGGCCAGGAGACCGCATGCTGCCCAGATCAGCAGGCTGCTGGCAGGGTTCCCCATGTGGTGCAGTACCCACTCAGGGGACATAAAGATCCCTGAGCCTATCATGGTACCTGCAATTAATGACACGCCGCTAATCAGGCCGACCTCTTGTTTCAGTCTTAACTTCTCCTTCCCTTCAGTCAGACCTGTGGATGAATGGAGTGGATCTGTTGCCTTCCTTTCTCTCATTGTGGAAATGTTAGGAGACAGGAGATGTTGTTGTAAGGAGAGAATCTGAAAAAGGATTAAGGCATTTGAATAAGGATTACCTCAGGCTTTAAGGTTTAGTTAATAATTACAAAAGTCACACTGAACGCTGTTGAGAAGCACAAACCTATCTTCTGCACTTCACATTCTTTCATTACCCATCTTATCTTGGTAATTTATTATGCCAAGTTTGATTATCCCTGAATCTCATTGCAAGCAATAGTAATGGATAGTATCCAGCACGACCTCAAAATCACTCAGCACATTGCTGGACTGTGATCCTGGTTATCTCTCCTTTAAATCATGCCTCAAACAGCATGTGAAATAAGGATCAGGTAAGCAAAGTCCCCATGCAAATCTGTACTTTATTCTTTGCTGAAAAGTCAATGTACAAGTACTTGCCTCAGTGCTCAATTGTATTTTCATTCTTCACCGTAACATGATCAAACAATCAAGTCTGCTGGCCAACATGCTAAGGCTTTGCTCAACAAGGAACATTTCCAGTGTCTTGATCAAAGAAACAGAAAGGTTTTGCTAAAAACAGTCCAGAGACACTTCTTCTGCACTGCAGTAGGGGGCAATATGAGCTTTTTCCAACTTTAGGAAGTGGAGGTGGAGAAACGTGAACAGGCTACAATTACATTTTTCCAGGGCCTTTTTACCGTTGTACATAAGGTGTGCACACTCCTACCAGACCACAATCTTCAGAGCACTTTGTCACAGCTCATTGTACACACATTTCAATGCACACGACAGAAACATGGTACAAGCTTTTGAAGATACCTCTGACCCTTACTTAGCTACCTAACACATAAAATTCCAGACCTTGAGGCAGGTTCTGCTATAAATATGACTATTACAGTGCATGAAGGTGTATTTTGTGATCTGAGATGTGTATGAAGTAGAGTGGAAGGGAACTTCCACATGGATTCCTTGAACACGAACTAAACTTTACTGGACAGTTACTGTCCTTGGAGGTCTCTTGCAAACTTCTGTTGCCACAAGTACCAGCAGTGACACCTTTCTCTGCCCTTCACGGCAACCACACATCTTGAATCTTTAAAACTGTCTGTTCTCAAATACTTGAGCTAAAAAAGGCATGATTATAAACCGAGCAGTATTTATATTGTTTCTCTAAAAATTCCTTCTAAATCATTTAGACTTCTCTTTCTTTGCCTTTTTGCAAAAGAAAAAAAAAAAAAAATCTAACTAGCTTTGCAGTTCTCTGCAAGAAGAGTCCAGGGTAACTCTTGGACTCTTAACAAAACTTATGGGTCCACAACAAAAGCAATAGATACAACTCATACAGTTTTTCATGCTAAGGCAAATAAAGGTGCTCAAATTTTATAATCAGGTTCAAGGACTTTAAGTTCTCTAAAGAAGAAAAAAAGCTCTCAAATCTCATTAAAAAGTATAGGGGTTTAGAGTACAAATGTTATTATTAGATTAAGGAAACAATGAAAAAAGTTTGCTGGGTTTCATAAAGGATTTCAGGAGCTATTCCTACATCACCTCTCTAGTATTCACTAGGAAATGGATACCAGCTGGTTTTCTCCTAATTTCAAAGTCCCTTATAGAAATTCACAGCTGATCAAGGGGTAGCTGCAACAAAAGTGAAAGCTTATACTTTATCTGTCAAGTAGGTTTTTTAAGCTTTCCCAGCAAAGGTGTGAGTTCTGAGAATAAACATACACCTTGTACTGCAAGGGTGCAAATTAACACATTTCAAGTTAATGGTTTGCAAAGTGGTTGAGAACTTGGAGGGAGGCATCCCAGTAATGCAGAGTATTTTGGTTTGTTTTTGCTAAGTGACAGTGCTCTTCTTGTCTGGTTTAGCTATTTGTAGTGTATTCTTCTTTAAATTGCAAATGACACTGTAAGGCAATGCAGGAATCCTTTAGGGGTTCAAAGGTCTAGGTTTTTTTTCCTGCACTACTGACACTCCTGTGTGCATCAACACATGTATTATGTATACCAATCCTTACTGAAAACAAAGGCACAAAATATGGTTAAAACAACGCTAAAGGAAAATTTCATATGACTACCACTAGTTAAGTGTCCTTCTAGTAAAGTTATCCTTGTATTTCTCTAGCTCTTCTCCTGTTTTAATGAAGGAACTTCTGTTCTGAAGTGTAAATGCAAGGTTCTTGGAGGGGATTTTTTCAAACCTTTACTGTTCCTGCTCCTGGAAATGAATAACTTTTAATCTAATGTTGTAGGGAAAAAAAATTAGAATGTCTTCCAACTTGATCATGTAAAAAAAAATTCTGTAAGGCCTCTCATATAATGAGAATTAATTAACTGGTATGTCAATAGCCTCAGTCAATTCCTAGAGGGAAGTATATTTCCAATCCCAGATTCATTGTTACTGAGTTCTAACTGCTTCCACCTAAAGTAATAAGGAATCTAATTAATAATGATAAGAACTTGAGGCTATTCCTGTGGAAGCTAAGGTAGTCTAATAAATGCAGTCTAATGTTTTGGACTTTTTTTTTCCATTGTCTTGTTCTTTTTTTGACTGATATTAGCAGCAAGGAGCAGCCTCAGATAGTTTACTCAAATGAATTGTCACAATTATAATTTGTCAAAACTGAGTATGGAAAAGGACAACTCACTGCTCCCTTCCCAAAGGGAGAGGTATAAGAAGGAGTAAAAAATACAAGTTCTGCCGCCTTCTCGTGTGGAGTAGCAGAGCTTTGCTGCTCAAGCTGTCGCCTAATACATCGCCTACCTGAACAATTCTCACTTACCTTGGACACTGCAAGGAGTGGTTGCCATCTACTGGTCCCGAACAATAATGCAACATGGCTCACTCTGCATTTGGGTTTGGTATTTCGCATTCCTGCCTGAAAAGAAAACCCACTGTACATATTACTTCTTCAACATTAAGACAGCACAAATAGACTATATTCGAGCTGGGAATTAACAGTCTCCTTAATGTCTTTATGGATTTTTTTTTTGTCTCAGGAGTAACTATGAGGACTAATTTAAAGTAAAGGTCAATGTCAGTGGTAAAAACTAGACAAAACATGTGGGCAAATATTTTGCAATATTTCATTTTAGGTCCCAGGAGTATTATTTGGAACACAGTTATGGGCTTGGTTTCCCTGTCCCACACTTGGAAAAGAGTTACAAATCTCTAGATGGGATTAAAAATAACCTGTAATCTGAGAGTGGAGTGGCCAAAATCATCGCCCATAACTTTCTTTGGAGGTAGACACCAATACTAATAAATTAGTGCAGAGATCAAGATTTTTTCTTTTTTAATTAAAAAAAAAACCACCAAACAACAAACATCAAGTTGGATGAGAGGTACTAATGATTAGAGAATTCATTCAGGACATAAGATGTGGGTTTGATGGCCTTCTCTACTTAAGAACATGGAAACCCACACATTCAGCTTGAATACTCTCACCTCCAAAATGCAAGATTTGAACTGCAGTTGCAGGCAGATCTTGATGCCAGTGCTTGCCATATAAGTAGAGATGCCTGACTGAAAACAGAGAGGGAATAAAGGCTAGGAAAGTGGAGTTCTGAAATACATCTCAAGCCCAGAAGAAAAATTGGGGCAGACAGACAACATACCCCAGATATCCTGTGTGAAAACAGACAAAGGAAAGAGGATGCATTGAGAGGTATCTGCCTGGGGAACAGGTGCCCCATGGGTTTGACTCTAATGCTCTACATCCCCAGTGCATCCTGGCTCTTCTCACATCTGAGCCTTGAAAGGGTGCAGCTTTGGGCCTCCATCCCTGTGGAGTTGGCCTGGACCCACCAGTTTCTTTCATGATGTGCCCAGGAGCCAGCAGTGTGTGGTTGCCCCCACGGCAACAGTGCCTCTGGCATAAAACCAGAGCTCCTTGTGCAGCAGAGCTCTGGCTGGGATTTTAAAAATGCCAATGTGAGCTGCAGCTAGCAAAACAAAAACACAGCTTGGGCTACTGGGAGTACGGTGGTGGGGTAGAAATGACATTTCTGAGGATGCAGGATAGCCCTAGGGTTCACAACAGGAATAATCATTAAAACTGAGCTTGTTTGTATTTAGAGTAACTGCCTTTCTCTGTCATGTTACAATAGCAGATCTGAAGTTAGGGGTTTAAGAGTGAATCTTAGACCCAATAATTTACCATGAGCTGAGTTAGTGCTCCCTGTCTGGGTCTGCAAACAGCCTGCAGCTGAGCTTGAGCCTCCCTGCTCCTGCCAAGCAAGGGCTCAGCATATTCTGGCTCTGCAGCTATTGGACTTTGAAAGGCTTGCTTTTGTTTTATAGATATTCCTTCTTAAAATGTATTTGGTATCCCATGTTTCCAATTAGGCACTGAATATTATATGTTCAAGAGGAAGCTGCTAGTGCCATACTGAACTCCTTAAAAACAATGGGATTCAGGCAGAAGGAAATCTCAAAGGCTCAGGAGCAAGCTGTCCCTATATGCCAAAAGATGAGTCAGTGGGAAAGAAAACCAGCCTGACTGAATAGGGAGGTTTTGCTGAAACTCAGGTAAAAAAACAAAGAGAGTTTATGACCTTTGGAAGAAGGGCAAGCAACTCAGGAAGAATACAAGGATGTCATTGGGTCATGTAGAGAGAAAATCAGGAAGGTGAAAGCTCAGCTAGAACTGAATCTAGCCACCACTGTGAAAGACAATAAAGAGTGTTGAGGATGAGAGGAAATGGCCACAGCTGTATCAAAGAAAGTCAACATTGGTTATCATGAAGAATATTTTCACCTTTTTGAACATGTGGTTAAGCATTGGAATGGGCTGCAGAGGGAAGTGGTGGAGTCACCATCCCTGGTGGTGACTAAGAAACAACTGGTTGTGGCACTTAGTGCTAGGGTTTAGGTGGCATGGTGGTGTTTGGTCAAAGGTTGGACTTGATGGTCTTGGAGGTCCAGCCTTAATGATTCTGTGACAATAGCTGCTCTAGAAGATACTGATGGGGTAAGATGGAAAACTGATGAAATGAGAACCACAGCTGAAAAT